AAATAAATAAATAAAATGCTAAAAAAAATAAAGTAAGAGTTTTTAAAGATGTCCGGTAAAGCGGGGCACCTGGTTGGCTCAGTTGGTTAAGCAACTGCCTTCGGCTCAGGTCATGATCCTGGAGTCCCGGGATCGAGGTCCCACATTGGGCTCCCTGCTCAGTGGGGAGTCTGCTTCTCCCTCTGATCCTCCCCCTCTCATGCTCTCTCTATCTCATTCTCTCTCTCAAATAAATAAATAAAATCTTAAAAAAAAAATGTCTGGTAAAGCAAAGCAGTAAAAATAAGGATTGCCCATCAGACTACTAGAGGTTTTGAAATGGCAAATCATTGAATTCATTTTCACTTCAGAGTCCTGCATGACAAAATCTAAGCATTAAAGAACCAACTGCCTAATAGCCTCAATATCCTTCATGAAGGGAATAAAAATTGAAATATAGCAACAAAGAAGTTTAAGCATAGAAAGAGGGTTTCTGATACTAAGTTTTTCTTTTTCTCACAAAATTTACATGGAGGAGTACTATTTGGTTAAGACAAAGAAAAATAATGTAATGCCAGAAAAACTTAATAAGAAAAAAACAAAATATGGCCTTATCAAGAAAAAAGTATGATCAGAATGGTCTTCAACATTCAAAAGATACAAAGTTCATAGTAGCTCTTTGGTGATAACATAGAAGTCCGGAGTTCACCAAGCATATTAGAAGCATGTTTCAGAGCATCCATAAGCTTGTTTTTGTCCTACAGAAATACCAAGAGAATTGATGGGAATGTTTAATTTAAATAAACATTTAACTTGGATTTGTTACACAGTATATAGCACTTAAATTATTTTAATTACATAACAATCAGGTTTAGTTTCACCTTGCCTTCTCTCTACGGAAATAAAAAGATTCATGGTTCCTCACCTGGACTGCAAAGCTTAGTAAGTCTTATTTAACTAGGACTATAAACTTCCTGGCATAACTCTAATCTTTCCAACTTCTAGTGACTATAAAAGTAGCTCCATTAATTCACATTTACCTGCAATCAGGAGAGCTGGCATATTAATTCTTTTAAAACAAGCTACTATCCTGACAATGGCTTTGTCATAAAGACAGAGATGTCTGAAATGACAATCCCTTAAGTATGCTTTCCTCTGCACAATGCCCATGAGTCCCACTCAACACATATATGCAGACAATGCCTTTAAATACAGGAAACAATACTCATACTCAGAAAGAGACAGAAGCAAGCAATAATCAAGCTCCATACCCACCCATTTTCTCCATTCCAAGACATTTTTTTTTGCAAGGAAAAAATACAATACATATAAATGGTTAAAACAGCATTTAGAAATTGTGAGACACTTTACAAAGGTAAGATATCAACAGAGCAACTTATATCTTGAAGTACCAGACTATTTGGTTCCATTTCTTAAATTTTAATGCAGAGAATCTATAGTTTCTAAATAGATTACTTCCTACCCTGTCTTTCAGAATATGAAAACACAGAAATTGGTGTAAGTATAATTTTCCAGCTGGTTGCTGCAAAAAATATGTATCTATTCAGAATGGAAACAAAAGACTTGCTCAAGATAGAAAAAAAAGATGAATAATCCAAAATGAAAGCATTTAAATACATCCGTTCAACAAATATTTATTAAGCACATTTATTATGTCAAGTACTCCTCAGGTTTGAGGTACAGAACCAATGAGACTAGTAACTAAGGTCAGATATTGGTATCGTGATAAAAGGTAGGGTGGTCTCTTGTCCTCGGGAAGCTTCCATTCTGATAGGGAAGACAATCCCAAATCATAAATGTAAATGCAAGTAAACAGCGCTCTCTGCTGGAATTGTTCCATGCAGTGCTTGAGGGAGGTGAGATGGAAGATGTATGCCAGAAGACACTGAAGATTACATTCAGCAGAAGCAGTGGTACTATACAACCTTACAAAACATACAGACGGCAATTTTGCCTCCCATACTGACATTCTTACCAGGCATCTCTTCATTTGGAATGACTGGACCTTCACAGCCTGTATGGCTTCATCCAAGAGCTTTTCCTGCTCATCCTGAGGTGACTGCTGTGTTGTAGGCTGAAAAATAAAAAATACTTCATTAATGTCTCATTAGCACTCTCTTCTAAAAAATCTGTTATTTCTGTAGTTCTAGCCATAGCCCTTTTCCAAGGCTTTCATAAAAGGGTCATTCCAGTTCTAGATCTCAAACCCATTTATCTATTTTTGACAACTATTGAACCGAGAGCCATACCCAGTCACCCAAATTAATAGCATAATAATGCTGAAAGGGGGGCACCTGGGTGGCTCAGTTGGTTAAGCGACTGCCTTCGGCTCAGGTCATGATCCTGGAGTCCTGGGAT